CTATCGCCGTGACTACTCAGAGGCTCCCTTCTTCTGTCGCATCATCAGATCCTACGACAGATGTACCAGCAGCATCACAGGCAGCTCCTGCCCCAGCTCAGACCCAGACCGCTTTAGCGACACTTCCTGCTTTAGAGGGTCAGTCAGCATAGAGCTCAGGGTCAGATGATGATGCTGCCCAGTTTCAGCTTGCTCCTCGTTCTTCAGCGCCCGACTCGTCCGCTGCAGCCCCGCTGACCAGCCCTTAGGTTTAGGTGTTTGACGCCAAAGGGGGAGAGGGTTCGAGTATGTAGACTCAGGGGGAGCGCCATTTAGGGGGAGCTAGTTAGCTATTAGTCTTTTATATACATTTGGAGTTTTATTTGTGTGATACACTATTACTATTATGCATTCGTGTGTTTACTTTCATGCATACTATTTTATCTATGTGATAGTGATATCTACGTGATTGTGATATATGACATATGTGCTCTCTACTTTGAATTGTTTAATATGTCATATCACTTGAGCTATGCTCATTTACCTTTGCTTCCGTGTTTTTACTCCGATGCAAATAAGTCTTTCTTATTGTACTCATGCTTATTTCATATCATTTGAGTACATCATGATGGCTTGGGTTATATAAGCTTGACTAACTCTTTTGTTCTTATTGCTAAAAGCTTATATGATCCAAGCATGTTAAAAACATCAACTCTTTCACATACTCGAGGTTGTATTGTCATCAATCACTAAAAAGGGGGAGATTGAAAGCATCTAGGCCCCTAATTGGGTTTCGATGATTAATGACAATAAAAGATTACTGTGACTAACGTGTGTTTTGCAGAGGCAATTAAGTTAGGTCACGGTAATGGAGATCGATTGGGCAATCGTGGATGTCATGCCCCTACGATGGAAATTGTTTCGGTTTTCAAAGGATGGATGACAAGGTTAAGGATGACTAGTTCTAAGTGTCGTTTGGAGTTGAAGAGACACTTAGAGTAGTTTAGGACTTTGTTTTTCCTTTGGTCGTACTATTAAGGGGGGTATGGACGGGTAGCTTGACCTAGGTGAGTCTAGTGAGTTAGGTGTGATGCACACTTGTTAAAACTAGCACTAGGTAGCTCCTAAATATGCCTAAGATCCTTTAGAGCAAACTTCATTCACAAATGATCGAGAGTTGGAAGTGAATGGAGGGTCAAAGACTGACCGGACGCTGGCTCCGGTGCGACCGGACGCTGGCCATAGGGTCCGGTCAGTTCATTTGACTGAGGTGAACTAGTCCGGTTTGACCGGACGCTGGAGAGGTCAAATGACCGGACGCTAAGGGCCAGCGTCCGGTCGACTCCAGTAAGGTTCCAGAGAAGAGAATCTGCGACCGAACATGTCCGGTCAGTGCTGACCGGACCCTGGGGGTTCAGCGTTCGGTCGAGTACAGTAAGCATCCAGTGAGGGAAAAATGGGACCGGACGCGTTCGGTCAGTGGTGACCGGACCCTGCCAGCGTCCGGTCATCACTTAAACACTGGTGTGCGGGTTGAACTGACCGGAGCGTCCGGTCAGAATGACCGGAGCGTCCGGTCACCCCGCAGAGGCACATAATGGTTCGTTTTTTAGGCTATCTTATAAATAGAAGCTCCACTCATGTGTGGAGTTACTTTTGCTCATTTCAACAACTGAAACACACCTTAGAGAGTGCCAAGAAGAGCAAGGTTCTAGTGAGGTGATTGAGATTTGAGAATCCAAAGAGAGCCCTCATTAGTGAAGATCAAGAGTAGCAAAGTGTGCGTCCACCCTTCTCCCTAGGTTTGTTGTGGTCAAGTGAGAGTTCGTGCTTGTTACTCTTGGTGATCACCATCACCTAGACGGCTTGGTGGTGATTGGGAGCTTGGTGATCACCCGGAGAGCTTGTGGATGACCCAACTCAAGTTGTGAGCGGTTGTGGGTGATTCACCGCGACGGAGTGTCAAAGAATCAACCCGTAGAGAGCACTTGATCCTTGCGCGGATCAAGGGGGAGCTACACCCTTGCGCGGGTGCTCCAACGAGGACTAGTGGGGAGGGGCGACTCTCCGATACCTCGGCAAAACATCGCCGCGTTTCCTCTCCTCTCTTTACTTTGAGCATTTACTTTGAGCATTTCAATTCTTGTCATTTACATTCCTAGAATTGCCATGCTAGAGTAGGTTTGGAACTAGGTTGCTAAACTTTTATGCGTTAGATCAATAGAAATACTTCTCTAGGCACAAGGGGTTAATTGGGCTAACCATAGAACTTGTTTATTGCGAAGAAATTTAGAATTAGCCCAATTCACCCCCCCCCCTCTTGGGCATCTTGATCCTTTCAGCCTTACAGCACGATCCACCTTTGATGATCCTTTAGCCGGTGTCGGGTTACTAAACGATTCGGCGGTGATACACTTTTGATCCTTGCCGCATTCATACGTATAGCGACGGTGTTAGATGTTTGCACCACCAACGGAGGCGGTGATAATAAAACAATGAACGACGTTTACATCCGATGGTGATAGAATTTCATCCGGTTTACACAATATTTAGTAAATCAATTGGGCCAGTAATAACTAACTAAACACAAAGCATACATATATAATCATTACATCCATAAATCATGATCACAAACAAGAGTACTTTTTACAATAACAATAGATGGTACCATAACATCTTTCTCAACTGATGTCCTAACACAAGCGGCACATAGATGATCTCTACAGACTTACATGATGAAATGACGTAGTTGTGGTCCTCTTATGTGGCACTCCTGCTTCCAAAGCAAAATGAATATAATTAGTGCTTCCTTCGAATTGGTGGCCAATGCACCATAGAACCCCTCTTCTTCGTCTCTTATCCATTGCAGTGAAATTGTTGAAAAGCACTCAGACTCAACAACTTGAACAAAGCAGCAGAATTAATAATGTTGAACATACCATTCTTTTAGTTACCAAGCCAAAATTGGCAAATATATAGAATCAAAACAACTCCATACCTGAACAAAGATATATCGTAACGACAAAATACGGCAAATGCACCTTTATTGCTCTGCTAATGACTCCATGAATAAAGGAACATAAGGAAGATAGTAAAGCAGACGGGAGCCGGATGTGACTTATTCCTCCAAGTTCTTTGGATGATGAACCTTTTACTTTCAAGACTAAGAGATTCTCCCATTTCTGGAAGCTTAATTGCACTCCTCAAACATCCTTTAGTACAACGTACGACATCAGGTGGCTTTCTTTTCAAAAGTTGGTCGCAGATGCCCCAGCATGCATGACTGCCTCATGAACCAGAGTGGCAGACGAGAGAGCACTATTAATTGAAGGCAGAAAATTTTCCCTTAGGGGAATGCCCTCATGTGCATCCAGCGGAGTGTGCATGGGGGCATGTGCCCCTAAGGGCAAAAACAACATTACCCATGGCAGAGCTCTAGTGTTACGAAGAGCGTGGAAAGCAGCTTGGATCTACACACATAAGGATGACACTATGAATGATAGCAAGTTGATAGGAAATAGGCCATCCTGTGAGACTATGAATGATAGCAAGTTGATGTGAAATAGGTGGCAACATCACCAGGATGGTTCATTATAGCTGAGCCTGGTTGATGTTGTCAGGATCGAGCGGGAGGATATTGTAAGGATGGCATAGCTTGTTTTTTTCCTCTACCTGGTTATGCCTCTCTAGAATCTACAAGGGACGATTGTGTTGTGTGAATAGAGAATTAATATAAGAAGAATTGCAACTGCAAATAGATATATAGGAAGATGCAACCAACCAAATACAAGTGAAGTGGCAACAAATTAAAGCTACTACTATTGCATATATCAATGGTACTCCAGCAAGAAAGGGGAATTATTTTTATTACAGTATGAAGATGATGAGAATATGCAGTTATGTGATTATTTTTTCATGAGAATATGGAAAAAGAACTTTATAAAAAATGCTCTCTACTTATGAATGAAAATGCTCTTAACAGATCTTTTAGAAAAAAAAAAATCAACCAGCTCACCATGGCATAACCCCACCAAGCTCAGCTACCGGAAGGCGGAAAAATTTGCCCTTAGGGGCACATGCCCTCACGCCACCACCGTTGAATGCGCGCGGAGATGCTAGAGTGATGCTAGGGCAATCGCACTCACTCACATGCCCTCACGCCACCACCGTTGAATGCGCGCGGAGATGCTAGAGCGATGCTAGGGCACTCACACTCACTCTCTCGCATCTCTCTTTTCTTCATGCGCCTCTCTTCTTCCTCCGTCCTGCGTTCTCTTCTTCCTCCCTAGGGCGTTTCTCTTCTTCCAGCTCGGGCGTCTCTCTTCTTCCTCCCTAGGCGTCTTTCTTAGTCCAGCTAGGGCGCAGCATCTCCATGGCGGCCTCCTCAGGAGGAGGGACCACCTGCACCCCCACACTGCTGTCGTCGCTCATCATCTCCATCAGATCTTTTCTTCGGGTTGCTAACGACGTGGAATCCACGAACCCTCCTATCGCCATGCTATGTGAGTATTTCTATTTTTGGAAAGTTTAAGCACAAATCCTTGGGGTCTCCTTCCTAGCCGAGCGCACGATGGATTTTGAGAGTGAGTGCGTATTAAAAACTATATACAAATCAACCACAACAAATTCAAATGCAATAACATCCTAGTAGAACTAGGATTTTGAGACACTTCACCAGATAAAATCATTCCAAATTTGCAATCCTGCATCAACCGTCGACCCAATTCAAAATCAGCAGTGTAGATACAGGGTTCATGTCGCTATTGCCTATTGTCACAATTGGGTTTTCCATTTTCAGCTATTAAGACCAAATCAAAAGCTTTGACCAAGAAACAAAATAACGAAGAAACCAAGCTCCGATTGATTCATCCACATAAATATCCTCACTGGCAGGAAGGCTTCTCTCTCCCTTTGATTTTAGGGATACAAATGTTCTAGCACTCTGCTATGCTTCCCGGAAAATCCGGTTATGTAATTGCAGAGAAATTGTGAATGCGGTTTCTGGGTTGTCGCGTCATCTCATGACTAGCTGCTGCTCCGCATTTCGTCGAGCACCTGCTCCGTCGAGGTCTCCGGCGCGGCGGGCGACCCTGTGCTCCTTCGCCGCCGCCGCCAACGTGGCCCAATGGAACGCGGCCATCCGGCACCGCCTCGACTCCGGGCTCCCCGCGGAGGCCGTCTCTGCCTTCGCCGCCATGCTCCGCGCCGGCGCCCGCCCCGACGCGTTCACGCTCCCGCTCCTCAACCGCGCCGCGGAGCTGCTCCCGGGGCGCGGCCTCGCCGTCGGCGCGGCCCACTCGGTGGGCCTTCGGGCTGGCCTCGGCGGCGACGCCTACTTCTGCAACACGCTGCTGCAGGCCTATGCGCGGCGCGGGGCAGTGGCGCGCGCGCGGCAGCTGTTCGACGAAATGCGGTCGCGGGACGTGGTCTCCTGGACGTCGCTGGTGTCCGCATACGCCGGCGCCCGGGACGCGCAGGCCGTGTCCCGTCTGGTGTCGACGATGAGGGCCGACGGGTGCGAGCCGAGCGCGGCGACGCTCGCGGTGCTGCTCCGGGCGTGCATGGCCGAGAGGGATGCTGCTGCCGGGGGGCAGCTCCACTGCTACGCCATGAAGAGCGGGTGGAGTGGTGATGTGGTGGTTCTGAACTCAATTCTGACGCACTTGAGCAGGATCACTGGCGTGGATGTCGCTGTGAGGCTGTTCGAGCAGTCGCCGAGAAGCGATGCGGTTTCTTGGAACATTATAATCTCGGAGTATTCTTCAGAGGGGAGAGTTTCTAAGGTTGTCGATATGTATGAAAGGATGAGAAGAGAGGAGGTGTGTCCAAGCTGTGAGACCTTAACTTCCGTTGTTGCTGCGTTCGCCAAGTGCAGACACCTTTGGCAGGGTCAGAAGCTGCATTCTTTTGCTCTTAAGAGTGGGCTCATTGACACAATCCTGGTAGCATCCTTTGTGGACTTCTATGCGAAATGTGGTGAATTACCATCGTCAGTTCAGTTATTTGAGGAATTCAGGGGAAAAAGCAACTGCATATGGTCAGCCATGCTCGTGGCCTTTATCCATCATGGGCAGTTCTTAGATGCAATCCATCTTTTTGGAAGAATGATGGATTCTTCACTTGTTCCCAATGCTGACGTGCTTCGAGCACTGATCATCTGTTATACAGAATTGGGTGATTTACGGCTTGGTAAAGTAGTTCATGCATACATCATAAGAAACGACTATGCTGCAGAATCTCAGAGTTGTGCCTTGGAGACCTCCATTGTTAAGCTGTATGCTAGATGTGGGAACATTCATTTGGCAGAAAGGTGCTTTAGCAGCATCCTTCACAAAGATATCGTCTCATGGAGTTCAATGATTGAAACATACACAATCCATGGCGATGGTAGGAAAGCACTGGCATTGTTTCGACAGATGCTGGAAGAAGGAGCAAGGCCAAATGGAGTGACCTTCCTGAGTTTGCTGTCAGCATGTGGTCACTCAGGTCTTGTTAGTGAAGCTCGTGAGTTGTTTGATTGCATGACAAGAAAATTCGGTATCGCACCTGAGTTAGGACACTATACTTGTATGGTGGACGTTCTTGGCCGGTCCGGTAATCTGGAGGAAGCTGTACAAGTGATCAGTGACATGACGGTTAAGCCAGATGGCAGGATATGGGGTGCGCTACTTGCATCCTGCAAAACGCACTCAAACTCAAAGCTTGCAAATTTAGCTGCTCAGAAACTTATGGAGCTGGAACCAAATAATGTTGGCTACCATGTGGTCTTCAGTAATGTCCAAGCAGGCAGTAGCAGATGGGGTGAAGTGGAAGACATTAGAAGCTCCATGGTAGACAAGGACATGCAGAAGTCTCCTGCTTGGAGTTGTGTTTCTGATATTGGTGGTGTTTGATATGTAGTGTTCAGCGCTACATAAATTATGTTTCTCTTGAACAACATACAATCCTGATGCTTTGTTGAAAGATGACTATTTACGTTGGTTTTTCAACTATTGACTTGGTGTGGAGGCGTGTGTGCTCTTGGACTGAGCAGTCACCACTCACCAGGCTGCAGCAGAGTAGCAGTGGGTTGACTATTGAGGTTCCCTCTACAAACGGGATTAGAACTGCCTATATGATCATTCAAGAAACTAGGTGCCCTTAAATTTTGTTATACAAGAAACAGGCAGGACAGATTTGGTAAAGTTTCTGTTAGTCCTTTTAAATTTTCTGTAACTTCAGTAGAATTTCTAAATTGATCTGATTACCTTTTCTGATGGATCGTCTCAGCATGATACAAGTAGAAACCTTGACTGTGTAAAAGAAAGGTGTGTCTTGCTGCTAGATGCGACGATACTGCGTTTCAGGGGTAACTAACTCTAGCTTGGCTGGACAATGTATTATTAGGAACTATCATTTTTCACTGTTGTCATGCATATCTCACAGCTCAGTCACGAGTCAGCCTCTTACAAACTGATGATGGAAGCAAATTGAGGAATGAAATGCATAAGCAAGGTGAGTGAGTGAGCGATGTTAGAATAAACCACGACACATAGTGCCCATGGCGTGTGCGTCACTGTGCCGCGCCGTGGTGGTGTCGTGTGTGTTGTGTCCGTGTCCGTGCCATTGCACGCGAGCTACGGTGCGAGGCTGGGTGTAGGGCTGGTCCAGGGCGCGTTGTGTTGCGGTCGGGCATGCCGTGGTCGAGCTGGACTCTAGTCGTTGTGCATGGAAGTTGCCAGGACCGGTTCAGTGCATGGCTATTTTAGGAGCGCATGGAGGCTGCCAGGACTAGTTCAGTGCATGGCTATTTTAGGAGTTCGTGGTGTGCATGTAGCCGGTCAGCATGGAGGAAGCCGCAGTCCGGGACGAGCGAATGGTTCCCTGATGTCGCTGAGCGGGTCGTGCTGATCATGGCGTAAAGACCGGGTGAGTGGAGGCAAGCTCCGTGGTGCGTCCCCTGGTTGTTAAAAACGCCATGTACTCCTCGTTTCAGAGTTGCCAAGTCCAGTGAATATATAGCCAAGATACAGGTGAGTTTATCGCCGCGGCGTTCGTCGCCGGAAAACAGTGTGTCTATTGTGCTCGTTCTACCTCTCGCCAAGATCGTTGGCGTGTGTGTGTTTGAGTGGTTCCTGGGCGAAGCCAACAAGCGATTCACATCAGCCAACTGATTGAATCACTGCGGCAACTGTAACCCAGCGACTTGTGCTCCACTATGTTGATCGACTTGTCGCCACCGGTGAGCAGCTCGACGCCGGAGAGCACGGCAACCTCAATCCCTGGTCCAGAGTACTCGTCGTATTCTATGTCGGGATAACCATGCAGGTCTTGGTGATACAGAACCTGCCACCGCCGAGGTCGAGGAGCTGAGGGCACGTCAGCCTCCAGTTGCCGGGTACCTTGCCGGCGTCTCTCCAGACGTGCTGCAGCGCCAGCGCCGTCTCCATGGCGCCGAGAGCCCCGACGCCGCGCACAGGTTCCGACCGTCGTCGGCGAAGCCGAGCCAGAGGTCGCAACCGAGGCCCGGGACGTGCTCGGCTCCGCCCTCGAACGGCAGTATCCAGTCGCCAGCGCGCTTCCACTCGTGCTTCACCGTGTCGAAGCTGTAGGTGTCGTCGGTGGCGGGGCTGGGGCCGTAGCCTGGCACCGACTGGGCCGACACGCAGATGGCACGGCCGCCGTCGACCGCCGTGTTACGCAAGTGGGCCGGGGGCCGTCATTTGTAGCGGCCCAGGTGTGAGTCGGTGCCGTGTCGGCGCGGTGTGAGTTGGATGTGCGGCCAGCGTCTGTTATAAGCTGAGCCCAGCCTTTCTAACTGTCAACAAAGAACAGAACTCTGAATCCCCCGTCTAATAAACTCCTCCTCTCGGGATTCGGCCAAGCTCCATCTCTGTTCTTCCTAAATTCTTGCTACGTTTCCCTCCCAAACTCCATTCAGTTATCCAGGATCGTAACATTTGGTATCTGGAGCCTGTTCGATTTGGGGTGAAATTTTTCCCCAAATCCTGGCGCCGAAGAAGAGGAATCCGCCCAGATTTCAGTTGGAAATGGCAGCTTCAGTCGACGAGTTGAAGACGACGATGCAGGCCATGGCGATGCAGTTCGCCGGGTTCCAGGACATGATGTCCACCGCCTTGGACAAGCTTGGAGCGCTCGAGACCTAGAAGGAGACGGCGGACGGGTCGCTCGCCACCCTATTACAGAAGACCACGACGACGGCGACTCGGGTCAAGGAGACAGCGTCGCGTGTGTCCCGCCTCGAGTTTCGTCCTCCACCACCACCGCCGCCCCCGCCGCCACCTCATTGGAGCGCGCAACACCATCCGCCACCAGCTGCAGTGGGTCTCGACCTCAACACGGCTCCTGAAGCGTTGTCCGGTGCGACGCCTCTGCGACCGAACTCGCCCCAGGGGCACGGCGATGACAATCAAATCCGGGACGCTGGCGGTGGAATCCTTGGATTTCCCCCGCCTCGCCTGGGCAACGGTATGCACTATGGTCCCGTTCCCCAAGCACTTTCAGTTCAGGTTTCTGCTTCTGATGAGGATTCGGGACTTCACAATCCCCTGTTTCCGAAGATAGAATTCCCCAAATTCGATGGACCCAACCCCCGTTGGTGGCATGACCAATGTGAACTCTATTTCGAGGTCTACACGGTGCAGCCTGCCATCAAGACGCGCTTCGCCGCTCTGAACTTCAAGGGAGCCGCGGCGACTTGGTTGCAGACCGTACAACGACGTGGGCAGATCGTGGAGTGGGAACGGCTATGCGAGATGGTGATGGCCAAATATGATAAGGATCAGTATGAGATTCTCCTTCGACAATTGGACTCCCTCAAGCAATCGGCCTCGGTGTTGGAGTACCAAGCGGAGTTCGAGAAGCTAGCGCATGGAGTGCTGCTCTACAATCCTGCGTTCGACGACACCTTCTTCGTCACGCGATTTGTGAGTGGCCTTCGTGATGAAATCAGATCTGCTCTCTTGCTGCATCGGCCAAAGGATGTTGATACAGCGAGTGCCCTGGTGTTAATCCAAGAGCAAGAACTCGAGCAGGGGAATGCCAAGTCATCTGGGCGGGATTTCACCAGATTGACTGGGCCAAAGAACACGGCAGTGGAACCAATTAAGCCAATAATCAAGACAACGAAAACTGAAGCTGAAGATAAATTGGCTAGCCTCGAGTCATTCAGACACCGCAACGGTTTGTGCTTCAAATGCGGTGAGAAATGGAGCCCCGCTCATACCTGCCCAGCTCATGTATCCTTACATGTTTTAGAAGAAATCTTGGATGCATTGGATATTGCTCAGTCTAATGATGATGAGGACAGTGATGGTGATAGTGCTGAAACACCTCAAGAAGTACTGACAGTCCAGTCTGTTCCTGTTCCTCAGCAAAAGTCTAGACAAACCTTGAAACTGTTAGCTCAGATTGGAAAGCATAAGGTATTGATCCTGGTAGACTAGGGCAGTGTAGGAACTTTTTTTAGTGAGCAACTTGTTCAACATCTAAAAATCCCAACAGAAGCTTGTGAGCCCAGCACTTTCAGGGCTGCTGATGGGAGAGTGATGCTATGTGAGCAGAGAGTGCCTCAATTGAAATGGTTTATTCAGGGTCACTGTTTTGTTTCTGACGCCAAGGTGCTGCCCCTGAAATGTTATGACCTCATCCTTGGAGAGGATTGGCTTGAGGATTACAGTCCAATGCTGGTAGACTATAAATTGAAAACTCTTCAGTTCAGTGTTGAGGGTAAGACAGTTCACCTACACGGAGTCCGGGATAACCCAAATGTGTGTACACCTGTGAGTGCCAGTAAATTGAAAGGCCTACTCAAACATGGAGCTATCTCTCACTGCATTCAGATGATAGTGCCCTCTGTGTCACAATATTGTTCTGATCAGGACCAGACTGTAAAGCAACATAACATTCCAGCAAGTGTGGCTGAAGTTCTGTCCAAACATGCTCATCTATTCTCTGAACCAGTTGGCCTGCCTCCAAGAAGTGCTGATCATAGAATTCCTTTGATCCCTGGGGCACAACCTGTGAAAGTTAGATCATATAGGTATTCACCTATACAGAAGTCAAAGATTGAAAAACAATTGAAGCAAATGTTGGCTCAAGGGGTGATTAGGCCCAGTAATAGTCCATTTGCTTCCCATGTGTTGTTGGTTAGAAAAAAGGATGGCACTTGGCATTTCTGCATTGATTATAGGCATTTGAATTCTATCACTGTGAAGCATAAGCATCCTATGCCAGTAGTGGATGAGCTATTAGATGAGTTGACTGGTTCCAAATGACTCACCAAACTAGATTTCAGATCTGGCTATCATCAAATTTGCATAGCTGCTGGTGAAGAATACAAAACAACATTTAAGACACATAATGGGCTTTTTGAGTTCCTGGTGATGCCTTTTGGCCTCACCAATGCACCTGCAACCTTTCAGAGCTTTATGAATATCATCTTTGCTGAATTGCTCAGGAAAGGGATATTAGTCTTCATGGATGATATCTTGATCTAATCTAAAACCTTGGAGGAGCATGTGTCCTTGCTGCAGCAGGTGTTTAAAATTTTGGAATAACACCAGTTTCTGATTAAAAAATCTAAATTCTCATTTGCTACTAACACAGTGGAGTATCTAGGCCATGTGATCTCTTAAGCAGGAGTGGCTACTGATCAATCCAAAATTTAGGCAGTCAAGGTTTGGCCAACACCAAAAACAGTCAAACAATTGAGAGGATTTCTAGGTTTGACTGGGTACTATAGAAAGTTTATAAGGCACTATGGCTTAATAAGCAGACCTCTCACTGATCTTCTGAAGAAAAATGTTCAATTTCAGTGGACTCCAATAGTTGAGCAAGCATTTCAAACTTTGAAACATCAGTTGATGACTGCACCTGCCCTGGCTGTCCCAGACTTTTCAAAGCAGTTTGTCCTAGAGACAGATGCAAGTGACTTGGGCATTGAAGCTGTGTTGATGCAAGATCAACATCCTATTGCATATTTGAGTAAAGCTTTGTGTCCAAGAAATCAGGCATTATCTGTGTATGAGAAAGAGTGCATGACAATTTTATTGGCAATTGAGAAATAGAGGTCATACTTACAGCATCAGCCTTTTGTCATCAGGACAGATCACAGGAGCCTACAATATCTTACTGAACAAAGATCTAAGTTGCAATAGAAGGCCCTGATAAAGCTAATGGATCTGCAATACATTATTCAGTATAAGAGAGGAGACACCAATGCAGCTGTAGATCCATTGTCCAAATTTGAGCATCACCAAGAGGTGCAAGCTATCTCTGAATGTATTCCTACTTGGGTTCAGAAACTGGTGGAAGGCTATGAAGATGATGAACAAGCCAAGCGGCTCATGACCGAACTGGCTATTTCTGCTGACAGTCACCCTGGCTATAAGCTACAGAATGGTGTGCTCAGGTATAAAGGAAGGGTTTGGGTTGGAAATAATAAAACTGCCCAACATCACATTTTTTGTCTTGCATGAAGTGGCATTGGAGGCCATTCTGGAGTTAGTGCAACCTATGCTCGAGTTAAGCAGCTCTTTGCCCGGCCAAGTATGAAACAGTCAGTTCAGGAATTTGTTAAGCAATGTCAAATTTGCCAACAAGCTAAGACTAAAAGAATCAAGTCCTCAGGTCTTTTAAACCCACTGCCTGAACAAGCTTGGGAAATCATTAGCCTTGACTTTGTGGAAGGGCTGCCACAATCTGATAATTACAATGCCTTATTAGTAGTGATCGACAAGTTTACTAAATATGGGCATTTCATTCTAATTAAGCATCCATTCACGGCTCTGCAAGTGGCTCAGATTTTCATGAACAACGTGTATAAGTTGCACGGCCTTCCAAAGACAATCATCTCTGATAGGGACCGGGTGTTCACCAGCACAGTTTGGCAGCAATTGTTTCAACTGTCAGATACAAAGCTCATGATGAGCTCCTCATACCATCCGCAGATAGATGGGCAAACAGAGAGACTGAATCAGTGTGTTGAAGGCTTTCTACGCTGCACTGTACATTCCTGCCCCAAACAGTGGAGCAAGTGGATCTCGGTTGCTGAATTCTGGTATAACACTTCAACTCATTTAGTTTTGGACAAGTCACCCTTTGAAGTACTATACGGTTATCCACCAAGGCAATTGGGGATAGCGAACTTACAATTGTGCACGATACCGGATCTTGAACAGTGGCTCACTGATAGGGAGTTCTTGCCATAATTGGTGAAGCAGCAGTTACTTCGAAGCACAACAAAGAATGAAATCCCAGGCAGATAAGAATCGTTCGGAGCGTGAGTTTGCAGTTGGCGATTCTGTCTTTTTGAGATCATAGCCATATGTTCAGTCTTCTGTTGCTAACAGGACTAGTCAGAAACTATCTTTTCGATACTATGGCCCCTTCAAGATTCTGCAGAGGTTTGGCCAAGTTGCTTACAAGCTGGACTTACCTGACGATGCTAAAATACACCTGGTGGTGCATGTGACCCAGTTGAAGCAACACATCTTCCGTGTTCTCAGTCGTCATTCGATTCTGAGAGGAGCCACGGTGGTTCCACAGTTGCTGATCCATTGGAGTGAGCTGCCACCAGAGTTGGCTACTTGGGAAGATGAGAACAAGATACCAAAAGCTCTGCGGCTGGGCGAGTAGTCATCTGTAGATAAAGCTTGAGGACAAGCTTTTGCTAAGCAAGGGGGAGTGTTACGCAAGTGGGCCGTGCACGTCATTTGTAGCAGGCCCAGGTGTGAGTCGGCACCGTGTGAGTTGGATGCGCGGCCAGCATCTGTTATAAGCTAAACCCCGTCTTTGTAACTGTCAACGGAGAACAGAACTCTAAATCCCTCGTCTAATGAACTCATCCGCTCGGGATTCAGCCGAACTCCATCTCTGTTCTTCCTAAATTCTTGCTACATTTTCCTCCCAAACTCCATTCAGTACACATCGCATGGGAGCATATGGGGATGCACGGGCCCAGCGGCGGCGCCGGGAGAGGGTCGGGCGAAGGTCGATGGTGTCGTCAGGGTGGCGGTCGCCGAAGCGGAGGACGCCGAAGCAGAAGGTGTCCCAATCCGTACTGGCGTCGGAGTGCATGACGTAGAGGTCCTGCAGCTCGGGGGCGTCGGGGCGGGCGAGGGAGATGGTGATGGGGTGGCCCCCCAGCTGGCCGGCGAGGACGGGCATGGCGGTGACGCAGTTAGCGTTGGCGTCGTAGAGGATGGAAGGGCCCAGCTTGTTGCGGAAGATGATCCGGCCCTCGCTGTCGCGGGGGCTGAGCAGCGCGAAGAACCGCACGTCGGCGTCGACCTGGAGAGCCCTGGACGCCGCCTGGAATGTCATGGTCGGTGCGGGCAGCTGCCTCAGCATCTGTATCGCCGGTGGCCAGCTGGCTGCTCCTCCATCCTCCTTGTTCGCCACTTCTGCTTTCGCCTTCTCGGCGTCGGCCGTGGAGGGGTAGAAGAGGTGGTCGGCGACGTCGAGGCGGTGCAGCGAGTAGATGCTGCTGCTGCTGTCCACGCGGCAGCACCACTTGTGCGACACGAGGTTCACAAACCGCCGCATCATCCTCTCCGCACTATTGACTTTGGGGGGGGGACTCAGAAATCACTACGCCAAAACAGATCTGTAGCGACGGTTTTAGATGGTCCTTGGAGCGGTTAGGGCAGCCGCCCCTACTAAATCGTCTCTACAAATCATGTATTTATAGGGACGGTTCCCAGACCGTCCCTATAAATCGATTTGTAGGGGCGGCTGGTGTTATCAGTCGCTCCTATAAATCGATTTGTAGGGGCGGCTACAGTACCAACCACCCATACAGTTCATTTTTCCATAAAAAAAATTTAAATTTACAATTCAAATTCGATCAGAACATATATATATATATATATATATATAATTCAAATCTGACCAGAACACATATATATATATATATATATATAGTTCTTAGTCACATAAATCCATTACATTCAAAGATGTCTTGTTCTTGTTTGCATCAACGTAAATACATATAAGATGTCCAAAACATTTAGCACCCATTTAGTACTAGCTAAAGCTCTCAACATCCACACCACTAAGAACTAGCCAAAGGTTAGTACCAACTTAAGTGTATGCACAGGCAAACACTTCAAAAGATGAACAACCAACATGCTACACAACCATTCAGTCTTGAAATGAGACCAGCACCAGCACCTCAATATGCGGCTAAATTCTGATAGTTCCTGTTTTCCAATGCAACTCTACTTCTACCATGGAGTCTCTCATCTGCAGATGATCCAGTCACCCTGCTGCATGTGAATAAGTTGAATAGCAAAACAAAATGACAAAATGAAAGGACTGCGAAAGTACAAATCCTACAGTTGAAGTTCTATTTGACCAATACTAGACGATATCTATTTTAGTTGTCCACATATGAACTTCATTTTTTTTATTCATCACGCTGGTGGGTACCTCAGCAATATTTAAGTAATAGACCTGACATGGAAGCACCAGCACATACACAGTAGGCTCATCACACAGATCTAGCATGTCACATTGATCAAGAGAACTATTACTAGATCAATATAGAAGCTACTAAGCACTAGCAACACATACACAGGAGGCTCATCACATATATCTCATACACAAATGATTATCTCAAGTACATTAAAAATAAGAACTCACTTTCAAGTTGGTGAATTTTATCATCTCCAAATATGGCATATTCTGTTGCAAAGAAAGGAAAACAGCATACTGGGCATCAAAATCTATAATACTAAAAATCATTAGCAAGGTGAAATGAGTAGGCAATCATTAGCAACGTTTTTATTGCTCCTCAGATCTCGACAGAACCTTCTCGGATCTCCCCGCGCGGATGAATGATCTGCTAGTTCCAGCCAAAGAGAGAGGGTCACCGCGATGCCAGAGGCTGGTAAGAGGAGAGGTCGAAGGTGTACCTCTCACCGTCGACGGCTTAGGGTTGTGCTAGATCTGAGTGAGAGCCGCGTGGCCGCCCTGCGAGCGCCGCCGATCTACATCTCCCCGAGCGCCGCTGTCGCATCGTCCTCCTCCTCCTGCCACCTAACTCCGGTAGCCCCTGCACGCCACCACGGAGCGCCGGACGGCCGCGAGCAGTAGCTCCAGCACCGCCGCCCGCCACCACCGCTCCTCCTCCATGCCACCTCCGCCGGCGCCTTGCACCTAAGGTCCGGCGTCGCCCACTACGCCAAAACAGATCTGTAGCGACGGTTTTAGATGGTTTGTGGGGGCGGTTAGGGCAGCCGCCCCTACCAAACCGTCTCTATAAATCATGTATTTGTAGGGACGGTTCCCAGACCGCCCCTACAAATCGATTTGTAGGGGCGGCTGGTGTTATCAGCCGCTCCTATAAATCGATTTGTAGGGGCGGCTACAGTACCAACCGCCCCTACAGTTCATTTTTCCGTCAAAAAAATTTAAATTTACAATTCAAATTCGATCGAAATATATATATATATATATATAATTCAAATCTGACAAGAACACACATATATATATATAGTTCTTAGTCACATAAATCCATTACATTCAAAGATGTCTTGTTCTTGTTTGCATCAACGTAAATACATATAAGATGTCCAAAACATTTAGCACCCATTTAGTACTAGCTAAAGCTCTCAACATCCACACCACTAAGAACTAGCCAAAGGTTAGTACCAACTTAAGTGTATGCACAGGCAAACACTTCAAAAGATGAACAACCAACATGCTACACAACCATTCAGTCTTGAAATGAGACCAGCACCAGCACCTCAATATGTGGCTAAATTCTGATAGTTCCTGTTTTCCAATGCAACTCTACTTCTATCATGGAGTCTCTCATCTGCAGATGATCCAGTCACCCTGCTGCATGTGAATAAGTTGAATAGCAAAACAAAATGACAAAATGAAAGGACTGCGAAAGTACAAATCCTACAGTTGAAGTTCTATTTGACCAATACTAGACGATATCTATTTTAGTTATCCACATGTGAACTTCATTTTTTTTATTCATCACGCTGGTGGGTACCTCAGCAATATTTAAGTAATAGACCTGGCATGGAAGCACCAGCACATACACAGTAGGCTCATCACACAGATCTAGCATGTCACATTGATCAAGAGAACTATTACTAGATCAATACAGAAGCTACTAAGCACTAGCAACACATACACAGGAGGCTCATCACATATATCTCATACACAAATGATTATCTCAAGTACATTAAAAATAAGAACTCACTTTCAAGTTGGTGGATTTTATCATCTCTAAATATGGCATATTCTGTTGCAAAGAAAGGAAAACAGCATACTGGGCATCAGAATCTATAATACTAAAAATCATTAGCAAGGTGAAATGAGTAGGCAATCATTAGCAAGGTTTTTATTGCTCCTCAGATCTCGACAGAACCTCCTCGGATCTCCCCGCGCGGATGAATGATCTGCTAGTTCCAGCCAGAGAGAGAGGGTCACCGCGATGCCAGAGGCTGGTAAGAGGAGAGGTCGAAGGTGTACCTCTCACCGTCGACGGCTTAGGGTTGCGCTAGATCCGAGTGAGAGCCGCGTGGCCGCCCTGCGAGCGCCACCGATCTACATCTCCCCGAGCGCCGCCGTCGCATCGTCCTCCTCCTCCTGCCACCTAACTCCGGTAGCCCCTGCACGCCACCACGGAGCGCCGGACGGCCGCGAGCAGTAGCTCCAGCACCGCCGCCCGCCGCCACCGCTCCTCCTCCATGCCACCTCCACCGGCGCCTTGCACCTAAGGTCCGGTGTCGCCCGCGTCCGCTGCACGCACGCTCGAGTCGCCGCCGCGCCGTGGGAGCCGCCACGGCCGTGGGTTTCGTTTCTCTCTCTCTCTCCCTGGATGCCGGTGGCTACTGGGTGTAAGGAGGAGAGGAGAGGGAGTGAAGAGAGTGGGGGCATTAGGGTTTGGCCGAATTTTTTATGAGTTCGTTTTCAGTCAGTCAGATCTCAGCCATCCATCTTAGATCAATGACTGACATCGCTTGGCCATTAGGGTTTCTCTGTTTGGGCCATTGCTGGGCTTCAAGCAGCCACACGGGCCTTAGTAGGGGCGGCTATGCATTTGTAGGGGTGGCTCGTATTATCAGCCGCCCCTACAAATAGAAACACCTGGGGCGGCTGGTGAGTGAGTCGCACCTACAAATCTGACCCATTTGTAGGGGCAGCTCGTATCACCAGCCGCCCCTGCTGTTCTATTTATAGGGGCGGCTTGTCTCTGGGCTCCCTAGCACGCCACTGTAGGGGCGGCTCCATCACAAGCCACCCCTATAAAACATTTGTTCCGTTGCTACAAACCGTTTTTCACGTAGTGAATTAAACGGACTGAATGAGAAGAAATCGAGCCTACCTGATGCATGCAGGGGAGATACGGCTTAAAGATCGATCAACTTACCGATCTTGAGAGCCATCGCCGTGGACCGAGAACGAACAATGAGATTGGATGAAGGAGACGAGCGGTGGCGGCGCAGCGCAGATGAGCTAGGTTATCCGTTTGGACGGCGTCGGAGATGGTGCCTGGGGGATGGCGGCAGACGGATCGACAGCAGTGCGGATGGACGGAGGCGAATGAACTCCACTACCGGAATCCTCAAATTTGTCGAGTGTTTTTATGTTTGCCGAGTGTATTCCCTCGGGCACTCGGCGAACAAGTTCTTTGCCGAGTGCTGAGCTAAAAACACTCGGCAAAAAAAACGCTTGGTAAAGTGGAGGTTTGCCGAGTGTCAAAAAAAATACTCGGCAAAGATGGGGTTTGCCGAGTGTTTTTTTTACACTCGGCAAAGAAGTAAAATGTTTTTTCTGCGAAAGAAGGAGAAGAAAAAAATAAAAAAAAAACTTTGCCGAGTGCCCAGATCTAGGACACTCGGCAAAGGAAAAAAATATTTTTTCTGGGAAAGAAGGAGAAGAAAAAAATGAAAAAAAAACTTTGCCGAGTGCCCAGATCTGGGACACTCGGCAAACGAAAAAAAATCTTTTTTAACCCCTAGCGGACGCGCCCTAGCCTTCTCCCCGCACGGCCCCCTCCCCTTCTCCCCGCGCCGCGTCCGCACGCCCCCTCCCCTTCTCCGCGCACGCGCAAGCGCCGCCCCATCCTCCCTCTCGGCGCCGGCGCGGCCCCGCCCTCCCCTCCTCCCTCTTCGGCGCGGCCCGCCCTCCCCTCCTCCCTCGCCAGCGTAGCCCGCCCTCCCCTCTTCCTCTCTCGGCATGGCGGCACTCCCCTTGCCTCTCCCTGCGCGGCGGCGCACCTCCTTCCCTCCTCCACCGCCTCCACCAGATCCGGCCCCGGCGCGGGCGAATCCGGCGACTGTGGCGCACGGGGAGGCCGGATCCGGCCCCAACGCGGGAGGACGGATCTGGCGCGCAGCCCTCCTCTCTCGGCGTGGCGGCGCCCTGCCCTCTCCCTCTCCCAGCGCGGCGGCGCCCTCCCCCTCCCTTTCCCGGTGGTGGCGCCCTCCCCCCTTCCTCTCTCGGCATGGCGGCGCTCCCCCTGCCTCTCCCTTTCCCGACGGCGCTCCTCCACCGCCTCCACCAGATCCGGTCCCAGCGTGGTGGTGGCCTGGGCGTGGTGGCGCGGCGTGGTGGTGGTGCGGCGTGGTGGCGGCGCGGCAAGGAGAAGACGGCGGCTTGGTTTTTTTTATTTTTTCTGAAATTGTTTGCCGAGTGTTTTTTGGGCACTCGGCAACGTCTTTGCCGAGTGCGCGACAAAAAACACTCGGCAAACTACCGTTTGCCGTAAAAGTGTTTGCCGAGTGTCGTTTGCCAAGTGTAACACTCGGCAAATCCTTTATCAAGTGTTTTTAGGGCTTCGCCGAGTGCCCCTAGCACTCGACAAAGATCCTGTATCCGGTAGTGCTTGAATGGACCCTAGGTAGAAAATATTTATCTAACTATACTACTTGAATTATCCACCCCAAGGGTGCTCGTATTTTTTCTGATTTGAGTAGTAGGCGACGTCACCGTCGACAGCGAGACGTCTATGATGACTTCATAAATCTCAAGATCTACCGGTTCAGTCCTTCAAAGGCGCTCATGAGATAGAGTTTGCGTACGTGTGATCATAGGATGGGTGTGCGTACGTGTTATGGGCGTCTACGTTGTACCGTGTAATTCTCAAAAAAAAAATCAGCTAACTTAGAATTATCCACCCTAACTATACTACTCAATACATTATTTAACAATTATAGATTTACTATTTTACCCTTGATTACATAAAATAATTAAAAAAAGGAATTGTCACTCCTTTTTTAAAAGATATAGCCATAGTAAAAAATTTCTTAAGATATAGCCAAATCAAAAATTTAATAAACAAGAATAAAAATAAAGAACGAACCACGTTTCGATTCATTCATCCACATAAATATCCTGCAGTCTAAATTCCATTTCAATGTCTAAGCACCAATCTTACAATTCTGCTGCACCACCAAAGCTGGCCTGAACCCCAGTGCCAAACACGATGCTTCTTACAATACGATGCAATCTAGCCACATTTGCAGGCTACAAAACTTTTCAAATGCAGCAGCTGTTCCATTTCGCAGGCCTGCTAGCTCTCCATGCATTCCAAAAGTCTGAGCACAGAGAGCTCTCAGCTCCACCGAATATCATGCAACTTGGTCAGTCTGACTGTATTATGCCGTGCTTCGCAGACAGCGATCTTCAATGATATCATGACGAGCCGACTGGAATCAGCTTGACGGCGGCGGCAATGGGCATCCCAGCCAGACCGAGGAGCACGCTGGCTAGCCACTGGTGTATGGTCAGGGGTGTGGTGTTGGCAAACTCGCCTAGAAACTGCACCATGATGAACTGGAAGATGACCGTGCTGGTGAGGACAGCCATGAAGACATAGTTCCTTGTCATGCCCTTGAGCACGTTGATCTTCTCCATCTCCCGAGAGCTTATCTCATTGAACACCTGAAGCGGCATGTAGGGTCAGCATAGTCTAAGATAGCTTCTGAAGGAAAGTAATGTTATTTTGCCCAAAATTGATGGTACCCTCAATCTCTCTTGTTTCTTTTTTAATTCTCGACTAGGGTGGAGATGCCCCACCCTAGCATATTAATAGGTAGAAGGTGATAACCGAGCCCTAGTTGGCTGGGTGGCTGACATCCACCCGCACTAACTAATTCATCTCACGGGGCTTCTCAACTCTTGTTTATTTGAGCTACTTGTGTTAGGTCATCGTATTATACTAAGTTCTGACAGCAAGTTTCTTATTTTCCAGTAATGACAAAATTGCTGGACAAAAGAACGAACATTCCCATGACATTTCCATGATCATTAAGTTGACCTGATTCTAACCAAACCAAAGATGCTGGCACCAATGCTGACATAGGTACTTAGCGAGCCAATCACGTGGAAAAGAAATGATCTGCAATAATAGTCATACCTGACAGAAGACGAATGAGTTGAAAATGATTGTATTTAGCACAATATCAGTACCAGAGTCTTCAAGCCCAAAGAAGTTTTTCCCTTGCGTTTGGAGATACCACATCACAAAGAACTGGTAGAAAGACTGACCCAGAATGTTCCTCCACATCACATTTGTAATGAATTTCCCTGTCCTTCCTACTGGCTCTCTGTTCATCAAGTCATCATTAGGTGGCTCCGTGGCTAATGCAAGCGCGCCAAGGGTGTCCATGATCATGTTAACCCAAAGAAGCTGAACAGCTGTCAGTGGTGCATTTCCTGGCATTACAAGTACATACGATTAGACAGAGAGACATCTGAAAACTCTGAGGTGTAACAGAATCACGAGGCAAGGAGACATACCTGTAAAGCAGGCTGAGGAGAAGTTAACTAGAAGTGCCACTACATTGACAGTCAGCTGAAACTGCACAAACTTTTGAATATTGATGTAAACAGATCGTCCCCACTTGGCAACAGTTACAATCGTAGAGAAGTTGTCGTCCAGAATTATAACATCAGCGCTCTCTTTTGCCACCTGAAAAATATTATATTAGCTCCACTGGTGACATGACTAAGATAGCAGGATATGATATAAATTGGCAATACTCAGGTTCAATAAGGATGGACATATCCTAATTGCATGTACTGTTTAGAGCAATAGGACATGCCACCATGGCATATCTGCCCTTTACTGAAATAAAACTTGATTTGGTTTCCTTAACAATAAGCGTTCGCACCTCAGTCCCAGCAATGCCCATTGCAAGTCCAATATCTGCTTCATGCAAGGCAGGAGCATCATTTGTGCCGTCACCAGTAACAGCAACAACATCATTGAATGTTGTGCGCAAATGCTTTACAAGTGTATGCTTGTCAAGTGGTGATGATCGGGCCATTACCTTCAATAAACACAGTCAGCAGTAGGTGAGACTTGTGGATCGATGGTTAAAATGTTTGAAAGTCAATAAGATATCGTGTACATAGCAAACCTGGATTTTTGGAACCAGCTTAAGGAGTTCATCTAGGCTTTTCTCTCTGAACTCCGGTCCTTCAATAGCTATGCCATCTTCAGTAAGTATACCACATTCACGAGCAATTGCCTTTGCTGTATTTATGTTGTCTCCTGTGACCATTCTCACCATAATTCCAGAAGCCCGGCAAGTAGCAACAGACTCCTTCACCCCTGGACGGACAGGATCTTTGATACCTATAATTCCAATGCATGTGTACCCTTGTAGTGGTATATGCTCTGTGACGGAAAAACCTTCTTCCATTTCCCTATAAGCAAGGCATAATGTCCTAAGAGCTTCACCAGCAAAACTATCAATAATACCATTGAGCTTGTCAGTAGTTATTTTATCCAGAGGATGAACACCACCTGTCTCATCTAGGAATTTGTCACAGGCAGCCAAGACTATCTCTGAAGCACCTTTACAGTGTGCACGGCACCCTCCTCCAGGAAGCCCAAGAATGACACTCATCCTCTTTTTTGTTGAATTAAAAGGCTCCATTTTCACAATCTTAGTTTCATCACGTTTTGCCTTAAAATCTCCACCTAGTGACAACGCAAACTCTAGTAAAGCTGTCTCTGTGGGGCTACCCAGGATCTGATATTTACCATCCTGGTTAATTACAACCTCACCACCTGTATTGTTAAATATAGACTCCAGAAGAGTTTTAACAACAATCTCTGGAAGTTCAGAGCGTAACTTGGATGCATTCTCAGAACCATTAACTTCCTTGATGTTTCCGCAGATGCCGGCCTTAACAACAGTCATATGATTGGTTGTCAGTGTTCCTGTCTTGTCGCTGCAGATGGCAGTAGCTGAACCCATAGTCTCACATGCAGCTAAGTGGCGAACCAGTGCTTTGTCATTCATCATTTTCTTCATGGCAAATGCAAGACTCAGCGTGACGGCTAATGGCAATCCCTCAGGAACAGCGACAACAACAATGGTAACTGCAATAGCAAAATGCTCCAGCAGCTCCAATGCATCATCTCCTGACAAGCTTAAAAGCATCCGTTCATGGTATTTCTTACTGAAAAGCCCTTGGGACAGGACGATGAAAGTTATAACAGCAAAAAATAGTCCAATCTGACCAATAATAGTTGCAACTCCATTAAGTTTGACCTGCAGTGGGGTTTCATCATCGCCGCCTTCACTGAGAGTGGCCATCAGTTTTCCCCATTGGGTGCGCATGCCAACAGTTGTGACCAGCATCTTGCAGGAGCCATCTTGTACTTTGGTCCCCGACAAGAGGAAAGGGTTGTCTTCACTTACAGCGACAGGTTCACTTTCACCAGTTAGGCTGGATTCATTGATCAATAGAGAGAATCCAGAAATGAAGAGCCCATCTGCAGGGACCTGATCTCCAATTGCTAAATGGACAACATCACCAGGAAGAAGATCATATATCGATAGCCTTTGCCTGAAACCATTCCTTGTAACCTGTACTTGGATTTTCTTTTTCTCCTTGTCCAGGTCCTTGAACTGCAGCGACTGCCGATAGTCACTTGTCGCAGTCACAAACACAACCAAGAGGATACTTGCAACAATTCCAAGACCTTCATGAGCGCCTTTTGGCCACCCTTCCATCACAATGCCAACAACCAGCGACACGAACGCGCAGACAGCGAGAATTATAAGAGTGGTGTCTTGAAGAGCCTCCCATACAAACACCCAGAAACTGCGGACCTCACTTTCTGTGAACTTGTTTACTCCATATATGTCTTGCCTGCGCTTAACGCTATCATCGGCTGTGCTTAGCCCGTCCATCTTCGAAGTCGCAAGTTTTTCTGCAATTCCATCAACTCCACCATGGGTGATGAGCTTCTTACTATCATGGCCCTCGACAATGGACCCCAGCTCATCGGCACAGATCTGAAAACCTGCAGCCTTGACTTCCTCAGGGACAATGTACTCGCTTCGCAGGGAGAGGCCTGAACATTTGTGATTCAGAAACATGGTTTTGGATGTTAGCAACGTTAGGAAATGGAAGAGATGGAGTCAAAATTACAAAAGAATGACAATTTCTGGCAGTACTATCTGTCAGCATGCAATTACCATGTAGAAACTGCAGTGCAGCCTTCGAGACGAGCACAGCGACGCGCAGCTTCTCCTGTCACACAGCAGTAGTGTTAACTTGAGTAACCTCGCAAAGCAAGCCAAGAACAGAAGGTATTGGCGGTAGTAGTAGTAGTAGTAGAGTTAAGACAGCAAGGCTACCACCAAGTTGGATTGCGAGGTTAACTGCTCAAATCAGAAAACGGGAGTGCAAAACTAGGTATGTTGCTGCACTGGTTCAGGATCTGCTAGCAGAGTAATGGAAAGTGGTTTGAATTTATGGGTGCTGCAGCTGCAGTGGTACTAATCTTAACTAAGAGTGGAGTAGATAGCAGCCAGTTGCAACACCCTACTGAAAATGGGAGGTAATAATTAATAATAACTGGTGAAAAAGACTGAGATTTCCCGAACTGGAAGCACTGAAACAGAGCAAATCCAAAGGCATGTTGTCGCAGCAGTGTGAAATGGTGCGAGAAGCAAAATGGTCCCTCGTACATAGTCGTAGCTGAAGAACAACCATCATGGAATTTTTTTTTTTGGTGGCATTAAGGGCTTGATTGATTGATCCCACAATTCCTGAGTGGGTCTCGAAACAAAAATGAAGACCCCTCAAAATGCGCAAACAAACAGGCGGCCACAAAACACACACCCGGTTTTTTTTCAGTTAGAGAAGTAACTAGCTTGACCGTGAATCATGGCCACAGCCGCCGCGACACCCCAGCGCCGCTGAGCTCACTCAGATCAGATGCGGCGAGGACTCGCTACTAGCCTCAGGCGCCGGCAAGCAAGCAGTGGCCCCAGGTCCAGATCCCACGGGCTGCCCTGCCGCGGATCCCGGCGGCCAGCGGCAGCGGAGGACGGAGGACGGAGGAAGAGATGAAGGGGGGAGTGGGAATCGGGAGGGGGGAGACGCACGTGGTTGGCATGCTTGATGGCCTCAGCCTCGCCGCGCTTCTCGAGGTTGGCGGTGAAGCGGAAGCGGCGCTTGGGGTTCTTGACGACGCTGCAGAGGCGGCGCCAGCGGCGGAGCGCCTCCTCGGAGGAGTTCTTGGCCTGCACGCCGCCGAACCGCTCCTCCAGGTAGCTCTCCATCGCCCTCCTCCTCCTCCTACTCCCTGCCCCCCTGGGCAACGGCAAGAAAGCAGCTTCTCCGGGTCCTCCCTCCGCCTTGCTCGGGTGGGTCAGCCGGCCGGTCAAGCGCCAATCAGGCGCGCGCGTGCGGGGTACGGCTGACTTGTGGCCGGCTGGCTTGTTGCCTCGGTGGGGGCCGGCGTCGCGATGGGCGTTGGTTCCCGCGAGCCGCGGCCAACAGGCAGGGGGAGAGGGAGGGGGAGGGCGAGGCCGGAGGGGTGCAGACTGGCTGCAGGGTGGTGACACTGGAAGGAAGGAAGCTGCGAGGAAACTGGGGTGGGGAGAGTGACGGCAGAGTCGGAATCGTGGGTGGCAGCAGCAGCGCCAGTGAAGCGCGAGCGCGAGCGCGACCGGTCGATGTCGCGGCGCCGGCGAGACGAGACTCGTCAGTCCGTCGCTTCAGTTGAGCGGAAGCCAAAAGGAACGGCGGCCATCTGACTGACCATGCCTCGCCCGACCCGTCAAAGGAAACTGCCCTGACCCAACCCGACAATTAGGGATGCATACGATCCGGACATCCGGTACAAACAGATATAGCTGAAATTATATTTGTTTTCATATTTATATTCTAGACATCATAAATATATGGTTTGAGTATTCGGATACAGATATGGCATTGGATATTAAACATCCAGACTTAGATACGGACAGATCTAAACTTCTCTAAAAGAATTTAGTCTCGGATACGGTCGGAAAATCTCCATACCATTTGCACCCCTACCGCCAATGCACGAGCATGACCCAACTGAGGTCTCGTGTGGAACCGGAGCATTAGTAAAGGAATTTTTAATTTATATATATGAACATAGTTCTGTCGGGGACCAAACACTGGGTACCCAAAGAGGTGTAGCTAATAACCATCAAACGTTGATACTTCCGAACAGACAAGAACGCGACTACACTTCTAGCCCAACGACCGAGGGTTAGCTCCGTCTCGCCCGACCCCCGGGGGACCGACTCCGCCTCGCCCGACGGCTGGGGGCTGACTCCGCCTCGCCCGACGTCCGGGGGCCGGCTCCGCCTCGCCCGATGTCTGAGGGCAGACTCCGCCTCGCCCGACGTCCGAGGGCTGGCTCCGCCTCGCCCGACCCTTGGGGGGCCGACTCCGCCTCGCCCGACATCCGGGGGCTGTCTCCACCTCGCCCGACGTCTGGGGGCAGACTCCGCCTCGCCCGACGTCTGGGAGCAGACTCTGCCTCGCCCGACGTCCAGGGGCTGGCTCCGCCTCGCCTAACGTTTGGGGGCAGACTCCGCCTCGCCTGACGTCCGGGGGCGGGCTCCGCCTCGCCCGATGTCCGGGGACTGGCTCCGCCTCGCCCGACGTTTGCGCACTGCTCCCTCATAACTACACGCACAGATAAGGCAGGACACTCAAGTCAACCGCAAATACCAAGGACCACACCCTGCAAGCCTGCAGGGAAGTACCGTCAGGATATGACAAGACGGGCGCTTTAAGGCCCTTCCGGGCATGTCAGAGCCCGGACAGTGTTGTAGGCACCGACATTTGTTCTACAGTGTTATGGGCGCCACCATTGGCCCTCGGGTGCGGATCCTGACGGAATCATACGACAACCACTACGGTCCAAGAGGAGGCTCACGTCCTCTACAGTGACGGACGTGCAGTCACTGCGCCGTCCGCTCCCCCGTGAGATTGCATATCAACACCCCGGTCCGTCGCGTCGCCCGACGGGGCGGGATGGGACGTGACCACTTGCTGATCAAGTCAGAGCATGGCATCATCAACGGACAGACGCCCAGCACGGAGCTATCCCTGGCGCCGTCTGTCGTGACAGCACGACAGGCTTAGAGGAAAAGGAGGACCCGGCACCTTCGAAGGACCTTCTTTACCACTGATTTTTCTTCCTTCTCCCATTTGTAAATCCCTGCTTCCCCTTAGTCTATAAAAGGGGAAGGCAGGGCACCCCACTAAGGGGACGGATTGATTCAACACTCCACGCACCACATAACACACAACTGAGCAGCAACCAAGCTCTCAGCGTCTGTTCGATCTTTTCATCAGAGACTTGGGACCTGTCCCTCTCTCGCCCGTTTGTACCCCCTACTATGAACCTTTCAGTGCAAATAACACAAGCAGCAACCACGAACTGGACGTAGGGACATTCAGCCCGAACCAGTATAAACCTTGTGTCTTTTTAGCACACCATCCAGCCCTAACACGTAATAATACAAATTTACTAGTTGGTGTTTACTCGAAACACCGACAAGTTCCTTTACCTTTTTTTTGTGAAAACACAGTTCCTTTACCTTGCTGATATCATGTAGCATTTGAATCAACCCTAAAGAAACTTTTGAAACAACTTGATCTGACTCGGTTTGTTAGCGCGTTGGGTCAGACTCAGGCCAAAGATTTTTACCTAGTTTTCTTCTTTAAGGCTCGATCTGAATCCGCACCGCACCTGACCACTGCTATGCATAACTATGATTTTTATGACTAAGAAACCGCACTATAATTCGTCTATTTCGAACCGTGCTGTCACAATTTATTATGTACCCAATATATAGGCTCTGACGTAGAGTCCATCTACATGTCAGTTTTTTTTTGTTGGAGCTCTAGTGCTAGGCAATCTATCCAGGAGTCCATCTCTGCTCAAGGTCATCTCCAAAGTCCAATGCCTGCTTTTGCTAGCTCCAAACAAAACAGTACCCTCCTCTATCTCCATGTGGTCAGCACATGAGTGAGCCTCACAAGTAATTTTCCCTTTCGTCCCCCCATCTTCTTGTTCTTGCACACGACACTCCACGGTCGCGACCTACTTGCATTGTCCGTCGCATGCCGCTCACCGGCCATGTGTTGCACGCATGTGGAGCTTGCCCCACATGCTCACCGCACTATACATGCGTCGGCTCTAAGCCCGCACAACCCTACACCAGCATATAAATGTTAATACTATATGTATATATTTAGATACATAAATTGCGGGTACTATTTTATATAAATTTAATTAAATTTAAAATAAGAAACTTTGATTCTAATCTGGTCCTAGCTTTGGAATCAAATTCTGCCCTGGTCCACCCCGAGAATTCGAGCACTTCATGAATTGGCGCCGGATGCATGCATGCAATCCATCCATCTCCCCCACGACCACGAGACAGCATGAGTGAGCAGCATGCTGTTATTACGACAAATCGACAATCGACACGGGCCAAGAGAAAAGGCAGCTTGAGCTTCAGTGACTCACGCTCCGCTCGCTTTCATTCAACCACTCTTTGACCTGCTCTGCTCTCGTCGAAAGCCAAAAACGCAGGCAAAGCTTTTCAGACATTTCGTTTTCAGAGCCACGGGCTAGGGATTCCTTTCGTTTTCCCTATACAGAAAACACACGGGCAAAAACTATACATAAATACACAAAAGTCCTCGCGCGAGGGTCAAAAGAAAAATGTGGCTACTCCTATATAAAATATAGAGTTAAATGCATGGTCCATCAACTTACACTCTAGTTTCACTTAGGTCCATCAACTCTGAAAATGGGTTTTTGGTCCATAATCTTTGTGATTGGCACATTCCTAACTCATACCCCTTTGTTTCAATTTTTTAACTGACGTGGCACCTCCGGGTCCAAGTGGACGCCGCACACACGCATGCAGGTGCATGCATGGCTCTCGGCACACACTGTTTAGCCGCGGCTGTTGGTCGGAATTCACCTAGTCTCCTTGCTCTTGCTCCGGACGAGACGAGTCTATCATCCAACGGCGGCTCGCTGGTACGGGTCCGCATCAAGACAACGCCGCTGCTAGTGAACCCGCACCAGTCGTTGCTCTACTACGTGAACATGACCGGCATCCGCGTTGGCAAGAAGGTGGTGCCCATCCCGGCGCCGGCGCTGGCGTTCAACCCGGCGACGGGTGCGGGCACCGTGCTGGACTCCGGCACCATGTTCACCCGGCTGGTGGCACCGGCGTACGTGGCCGTGTGGGACGAGGTCCGGCGCCGCGTCGGCGCTCCCGTGTCCTCGTTGGGAGGGTTCGACACGTGCTTCAACACCACCGCCGTGGCGTGGCCGCCCGTGACGCTGCTGTTCGACGGCATGCAGGTGACGCTGCCGGAGGAGAACATGGTTATCCATAGCACGTACGGGACCATCAGCTGCCTGGCCATGGCCGCGGCGCCCAACGGCGTCGACACCGTGCTCAACGGCCTCGACGCCCGCCCTCCCCGCCCTCGACACCGTGCTCAACACCTGCGCGGGGAGACGCGCGAGCCGGGTTGGAACCGAGCGATGCCCCGATCTACAATTCGACGTCGCCGGCGAGCTCACGGATGGAGAACTCGACGAACACAACACAACGCGATAAAGTGGAACGAGAGAATTTTTGGTGCTGCCCTCAACTGCCGCAGCTTCTCGGGGCTTGAAGCCCGAGTCCAGCGCCATGCCGATATCACCGTGCGCACGCCCGCTTTTGCCGAGACGTGCACCGCGTGCCGCAATGTCTGCCCTGGCGCGTATGAACCGAACTACTAGCTGTGTCGTGGGCCAAGCAAGCCATGGGCCACGCACAACATCTACGCTACGCCTAACAGATGCAAACGAAAACAAAGATACATGTGCAACAATTTGACTAACAGCTGGCAGGCTGGGGAGAGACAGGCTCAGGCTTGCTGTTATTGACGACGGCGGTGGAGGCGTTGACAGCTTCGTCTTCGGGTGCAGCGACGACGTCCGGTTCAATGGCCGCGAAGCCGCCGGCATCGTCGGTTTTGGGAACGAGGCCTTCTCCATATGCCACGCCAACATCCATATGCCCGCGCCGATTCCCGCCGCCAACGTCGCGCACTACCGCGCTGCCCGCGCGGCCCCGCAGCCGCTAGTGCCACGCCACCGGCGTGGCCGCTCCTGCTCGCGGCGGCGGCAACACCCAGACGCGTTGCTGCTCGCCACCAGCAGAAAGAAGACGAATGACATGAGGGTCTCCGCTACTGCCTGTACCCGAGCGCACCACCT